GGTGGGGTCACCCTTAGAGCACCCCTATCGGTGCTGTGTATATGTAAATATTTGGCATATAGAGATACACATAGCCTCTTTCATCCCTATCGGACTGGTTATCTCCAAAAATCTGGCCTTTTTGGCTATATCTATCTCAATATTGGAAGCCGGATGGCGACAAATTTACTCATTTGACCATATAGAGACGCGAATTACATGGCGCCACTTGGCCAAAACACCATAGAACAGTGCCAATACAGTATCTCTCGTACTCGATGCCCCGCACCCCTCGTACACTACGCCCTATCAGGGCACTTCAATTTCAAATTTACTCCTAAACCGATAGTGTTGCGCACAGAAATGCTATATGCAAGCGCAAAATTTTAGACATTTAGCCACTAAATTTAGCGAAACCGATAGGGGTGCTCTTAGAGCACCCCTAGTGGCTGAGTAAATGAGTAAGTTTTTGATTTTTGGAGATAGATTTAATCACGAGCAACTCTAGTGGTGTGAGTATTTCTAAAAAATTTACCATTTTGAGTAAATCTATCTCCAAGCAGCCGACCGGATGGAGACAGATTTACTCATTTGCGCAAATAGAGATGCGAGTAAAATTGTGCCACTTGGAAAAATTGCCCAAAACTCGCGCCAATTCTATTGACATGGCGCGAGAAATGTTCTCTGTGCACAGAGAACACACTGTTTTCTGTGCACAGGGAACACCCCCATCCCAAGCTGAATTCACATGCCACTGCCACCATCCTGCATTCTTTCAGACGCCTTCCCTTCCCCCTTTCCTCCACCCCTCCTCCCTTCCACCCCTCTTCCCCTCCTCCCCTCCTTCCCTCTCCGCCCTTCCTACGGGACATGATGTCCCGGGATGCCAAAGGCAGTAATTTTAAGCCCGAAGATGATCTTTTTCCCTCAAAGTGCTGGGTCTCCGTTTCGCAGCGAGTGACAGAACAGAACTCCGAAACGTTCTGGGCTAGAGTCGCTGCGGAATACGACCTGCAGCCGAGTATCACGTCACGCTCTACAGCAAGTCTCAAGTGCCGTTGGACTACGCTTCAAAGGGTTGCACAGAAGTATCTGGCTGCTGACAAGCTGTATCGCTCCAACGTGCCATCAGGAGAGACTGAAGAAGACACAAAGGCTCATGTCATGCAACTGTACAGGGAGAGGAACGCGACTGTGGGTAAGGATGGTACCAGGAAGCTCGCAGCTCCTGTGAAGTTCAATGATGCCGTAATGCAACTGTCATCTCATCCGAAAATTTCTGCCGCTATTGGAAAAATATCCGCTGCAACACCGTATCGTTCCTCCAGCTCTTCTTAGATGAGTTGTGAAGCTGTGCGTCAACTTTCGTCCGATCAACAATCCAATGAGGACAGTGGCCACTTTTGCAACAGTCCTAGCTCAATCGGGAACATAGCAATGGTTGCTCCATCACGCTCCCGACCAAGACGCGTTAAGCAGGAGAAATCTGAAAATGCAGCGGAAGGAGGTGCCTTTAAGATGGCAGAGTCAATCGAGCGTGTCGGGATGGCGATCGAAAATAGCACAAAGGCGAAGCTTGTTGCGTCGTCAGTTGCTATTCAGTTCAAGATCATCAAGTCTCTGCCGCTTAGTGAGGAGGAGAGGGGATTGAAGCTGATGCAGCTCCTGTCGAAGGCGTCGTCTATGAATGCAGGCCAACACGAGAGAATTGAACTCTCTAATGAAGACGGCGGCACAACAGAAGAACCTCAAGTGACAAGATATCCGTAGTTTTGGTCCTGATGCTGGTGCGTGTTGATTTTTTGAGGTCCTCTTTCACGTCAAGAGCTACAGTGCATGGAACTGCCTAATTGATGATTAAGTCACCGTCCGAGAACCTGTCATTTATTATGTGACTCGGTTTTCTGGGAGACCAGAAGGTGATATCGACGCTGGAAGGTGAGGTTAAATAGTAAGCAGCTTGAAGAACATATAAAAGATGCGATGTCAATTGGATGCGGGATGCATATTCATCGGGCATGGTTTGAACTCAGGTTTTCGAACAATAAATTTTGTGATTCCTCCCGAACAGTTGCTTGACACTGTGATTCGGTTTGCGGTATCGAAAACCATTGTTGTGGTTGTGATTCTTGAACAACACGCTGCTCGGAGGGGACGTCCAGTCAGTGACGCACGACTCGATTGAAAACGCTGAAGCGGCACTGCAACTACATGGTGTCTACATGAAGTTGAACGGGCAAGGGAGGACGGGGCGTGTTCGAGCGCAATCTGAAATGTTGAATATATCAAAGGATGGAAAATGGACGTGGAATTCCCGTTTGTGATCGGTTGGAAAGACGCGGTGGGTGGGAAGAGCGATGAGTGAATGGTGAAAATATAGGCGCCATTGTTGGAATAGAAGCGAGCAAAGCGTAGAGAAATAGAGCAGGAGTGGGGCGGATGCATATTATTTGTTTTACTGTATAGGGAAATGAAAGAATGCGGTAAAAGCGTTTGTTGCCATTTTCTTGCTTGATGCTCGGTAATCTGAGCTGAGGGCGAGAGGAGAAGTGGTGGATGGCCTGAGTACCCTTCAAAAAAGTCTTGTCCGGTCTGAGATGGCACGAGAGGAGCCGGGAGGTGAAAGGCGAGGAGCAGAGCCCGGGAAGGCGGAGATGGGGGGCGGGCGGGAGATTGAGTAGACGTTGAGGCTGCGTAGCCAGGGGCTGGGGGCTGAGATAAGAGCAATCAGATCGAGGGAGATTTTGAAAAAGCTGAGAAAAGTAGTGAAAAGCTGGATTAAAGTTGACACATGTGTCATGGGGGTGCGAGTGAGAGTCTTTGCAAACATCGAGGCCGAGGCAGAGGTGCGGCGTTTCCCAGCTGTGAAACCAGAGTCCACAGTGGAGAGACGCATGATCACTGCAGTATCAAATGGCCTTGCCCTCGCCAGCCGTCTCTCACACCTTTTTATTTCACCCCTTTCCACCTGTCGAAAACGCGCTCCTCTCCAAAACTTCCCCCGCGCCACTTGCACATATCACCTCAACTGCTATTACCCACGTCTTCCGCTTGCTCCCTTCGCCCAACCAGGACGTTACTCTGTCGCGAGTTTCTCCACTCACATAAGCCCCTCACCCTCCTCTTCTTCCGCTCTCCTGGCTGCACGCGTTTCAAGATCCCGTCGCCCTTGACGCTCTCGCAAGGAATCTCAACATCGTCAGGGACGCACATATCGACGGCTTGCTTCTTGCTCACGCTGACATCCTGACACTGAGGAGCCCTTACGCCACATTACTGCGGCTCAGCAGTGTGACACATGACTGGGAATACCCCCTACGCACTTCGTAGAAAAGCCAATACACCCCATATCTTAGACATGAAGATACCTGCAATAACCCCGATGCCCAGGGGTGTATCGAGCGCCCGAAAGCAAACCAAAAGCCAAATTGAAGAACGAAGTTCCATGCAGCGTAAACGACCAAGCCATGGTAGAACGCACTTTGCAGATGGCATTAAAGCCATCTTTAACATGCGTCGACAAAATGATGACCCAACTGCAAAGAAGAAACCGAGTATTAGTCCTAGATCTGATTTGTCCGTCACATGGCTGAAAAGGAGTACTGAGATTGCCGCCAGAACGCTTCGTTCTCAACTCTCGTTTGGTCTATGCATCAAAATCTTTTCTCTGCCTATTCAATCGTCGCAACACTACCTGTATTGCATATGTCAAGCCCCAGAACGTATACTCGACCGACCCATTCGCCATCCGCATCGGCTCGAGAGCGTTTGCTGCGTGAAATCGACGAGCTACCTCCTTGCGTGGAAGAGATTGGCAGTCCACTGACGAAGCGACAGAGGATCTGCCATCGGCGAAAGTGCTTCTTTGATTCTGACCCGCGGACCGTTTACGTCAAGCGTTTGCAATCATCTGATTGCGAAGATATAATGCGAAAGCACGCTGCGGGATGCCCTGGGCATCAGTTAACGACCGGGACACTTGACAAAGCATGGAAATGTTGCGCCTGTCCTTCGTAGAACACCTTACCTTCGTCGATACTCAACGTTTGCCGCTCTCCTTACTGCGAGATGTAAGATGCGTGGGATAAGGACAACAGTAAATTGTTGAACCAGCGTGGCAAAGCACTGCTCGGCAGTGGTACGGCCGCATCCACACCTTGGACATTTGGCCAAACTGTGCCGCACGATATATCCACGACACGACGTTTTGGGGCAGCGATGGTTTACGGTTCTACACCCGAAGAGAACCTCTTTCCAAAGCGAACTCCAAACAGCAAGAACAGACGGAATCAAATCGTCAACCAATACGAAAAACTGTGTTTGTGAATAATGGATTGGAAGAACTGGCACAGGGATCATATGAGGCGGTCGAAGACACCCAGTCTTGTCCACAATTCGCGCGTATCGTCAACCGTCGCCCTTGGGGGTCTCGCATGGAATTCCAACATTGTCACTGAGCACAGTGAGTGAAGCAGAGAAAGATTTACCAATCTTAGTTATCAAGGTCGCCTTCTCCTTTCATTTTCGATAAATGATTCGACAGCGTCTCTGTCAGCTCTATGTGCTGCTCTCTATTACATACCATCCTCTCCCTCTCTAATAGGTATGATAAACAATCTTGCACATCCCCTCTGTCCTCTCCGGCTTCTACTGCCACTGTCGTTGTGGGAGTATCATATTGAAAGAACTCGTGTAGAAGTTCTGTGGCAATCTGAGGAACACCGTGTTAGTTCTGCTCGTCGGATAGCTCGCCTTTTAACATCATTTTCAAAATCATGTTGTGAAGAATGACACAAACTTGGCTAATCAGTATCAGCTGGCTGTCGCTCCACTCGTGTCTTTCTTGTCTCATGATCTTAAAACGTCCTTGTAGACAACCAAAAAACCTCTCCACATCTTTCCTCACTCCCTCCTGTCTCTGCGTCAAATGCACATCGCGTTCATTGAGAGAGGCGTGATTGGGCAAAACAAATATTGACCATTGGGGATAGATTCCGTCGTCAAGCATGTAGAGCATCCACATGCGACGGATACCGTTTACCACGTACCCTTCCGGCACTGAAATTCTTCTCTTCCCAGAAATGATGTCGTTGGTAAGGGGACTGTTGTCGAGCACTGTAATGTCATTGTTCGTGCCGCAAATCCCAGGAAACCAATGCCAACAATATAGATTCCTGTCTACAACAGCTTCGCACGAGATTGTAGCCAGCTTCCCGTCTTTGGGATTGTGGTACTGCCCTTTAAACGCTTTTGGGCAGTTTTCCAGTGTATATGCATACAATCTATACACCCAAGGCACCCGGGAATCCAGCGTCTTCATATCTCAAAATAAAATCCCTCAACTCTTCTAATTCTGGCTCGCGGTTGAGAAATATTGGACCAAAACGACGGACGACTGCTAATAAATCTTCTGAAAGTAGATGCGTTGGCTTTCCGGGCTCATACGTGACATGTCCTCAAGCTGTTCGAATGAAAGCCCACTTCCCAAACGACGCAAGCAGCATAATATTTTCTGATGACTAGAGTTTCCAGGTCTGCTAGATGCACCTGTTTGTTGCGCAAAAGATGGTTCCAGATCTAACAACTCCACATACAAGCCCTAGTAGAGCCGGAGAGGTAAGTGGAATACTTTTTTAAACTTGGCTGCGGAATACACAGGCCTGTCGCTCAAGTAGTCCTCAAACCACGAGCACAGGCCGCGCTTGAAATTGTGTGATCCCTGTGTCCGTCCCTGATATCGTCGCTTTTGCGAGACTTTTCCAGTCATGAACATAGAAACGGCAGCCTGTATGTGCCCCGCAACATCAGTCTCATCATCAAATAGATCTTCGACCGAGCATTCAATGTCTGAAGATGATGCCGAGGATGTGCCTTCCACCATGATCGCAGGCGGGGGCTTCAGGGGATGGGTACCGGTAACGTCTCCCACAGTATATAGGTACAGCACCACTATTACCACCCCTCGTACTGGATGACCGTTCCGGTTGCCGAAATATCCAATCACTACACACCAAGTTGGAATTTACTCTCTAACCAGTAGTGTTGCGCCTCGAATGGTTATCTCCAAATGCCAAATTTATCATATTTAACCTCGAAATATAACTAAACCAGTAGGGGGGCTCTTAGAGTCTGTTGTTGTTGCCTTTGACCCTGTCTCTTATGCCTAGCTTCTAGAAAAGCTTGTTTTGCGGACCTCAAAAAAGCTTGTTTTGCGGACCTCAAGTGCGATAAGGCATTGCTCACATCGCACTCCACACCCAGACTCTGCAAAGACCCAAACAACCTTGCTAGCACTACAGCACTCGGCACGGCCCGCCTCTCCGTAATTTCACACTCGCCTTCTGCCACACAATCATCCGTCATAGCATCACTGGCAGACTGATTCTGTAGCTCTCCACCATAATGAATTGAATCGCAAGCATCACTAATAGAAGCTTCTGTCACAAGCTCATTAGTCTTGGTCTCAATCCAGTCCTCCACATCGCAGGGTGCAAAGTCTTTGTTCCGAGCGTTGTAGCTGTGTTGGTCACAATTTGTTGGAGTGAAGGAAGAGAGCGTTTGATGTTTCGGATGTTTCGCTCTGAAATTTTGAACTGACGCATAACTGTGGCATTTCCGACCTGCAGCAGACGCCCAACCTCGATTTTCTGTGCAATCGTAAGGCGCGTACGCTTCGCTCTGGCGATCTTTTCAGGAATCATGTTTGGGTCTTTGAGTGAGGTGCCATCACCAATTGAGCTGAGGCGCATGAGGAGTGGGCGATGAAGACGTCGTGCATGACACGTGGCAGGACCTGTGTCTGCCGGTTTTTGCGGTACTAATTCGAGGGTGGCAATAATGAAAGCGGCACTATTGCGCGTCCCCCCCCTGTACTCGGTTACCTTTTTAAACTGGAATTTTTTGTTTAACACTGTACTGTAGTGATCTTACATACAGTTTTAAGGGCCCTCAAACGCTTCTTTTCCGGACATTTCTAAAAACGAGCGAAAAAAAAAAAAAAAGACTTGCCACTAATCTCTTTCCTTCACATTGCAGTAGTCAAGTACGGTGGCGAGGGCATCTTTCTCCTTCTTGCTAAGAAAGCGCAAGCCAAGCAGAAACATTTCGAAAAGTGACCTCATGCGAGGACACCGATCCGTTAGGCATTAGAGAGACCAGTCTCTTCGAAAGAGTAAACTTTGCATCTGGCAATAATAGCGTCGCCGCTCACATATTTTTGCGTCTGGTTTTGTCGCCCACCACGGTGTGCTGTGCAGTAGGATCGCCAGTGCGACAGGCAACGTCAAGATGTTACTGTTTTTAGCTTTTACACAATATCCCTGTGCAGTTGTCAGTTGATGCTTTCGACCCTAGTTCGGTGCAAGATAATTAATCAGGTCTGTAGCAAGCTCAAAGAGTCGCCACACTGCTCGCGACATCTCAAAAATGGTTACCTCCTGGAGTCCACCTACAGCTCGTCTTTGATGCCACCTGACGACGCTGTATCAGCCTTGGCAGCCTCGGCGTCCCCCCCGCTGAACACCTTCTCAATTGTATCGTCCTCACCAGAAGATCCTTCAGACGATGTTAAGTTTGCGGATTCATCCGTCTTCTCTGAGGATTCTTCCTTCACCGCTGGTGTTGGCGACGGCTTCGGTGCCGGCGGAATTTCTAGTTTCACAAGTCGCTCAATTTGTTTCCTCAACTCCAAGCCTTTGCCCATGATGTCTTTGAGTGTTACCACTGGGTCATCAGTCAAGGGTTTGTTCTTTTGGGCGTCGATACCTTCCGAAATCCACCCCTTTGCCGTCTCGCAAAAGTTGGTAAACTTCTCAAATTCTCCAACATGCTTACTTCCCCTCTCGACGTGCAAGTCGCGGAGCTCCACGACCTTTTCAAGAGCCATCGCGATTCCTTCTTCCAACTTCTTAAACGCGTTAGGTCGACCGGCAAATTCTTTCGCTCGCTGTTGCATCGGCTCGAACAACTTTTGCAGTTCAAAATGCTTTTTCCGAAGGTTTGCCGTGTGCTTCGCCTCATCAGTGTACATCCAGTCTTCGCCCTCGTTAAACACTTCTACCAGTTTCTGGCGTTCAGCCTCCGTGGAAACTTTGTACAAGTCATCATCTTCGTCCGCATTGCGCACTTTGGAGCCAATCTCAAGAATAAATCCTTCCAGGGAGTTCAGTGCATCGGCACGTTCCACTCTCTCCAAATCGGCAGCCTCAAGGTCCTTCAAAGTCTTCTGCGCGGCCTTCAGATCAGCGCCAGACATCTGCATTCCCATGATACCTTCCGAACTATCGTACTCAATCGTGAGCGTATGACGGTGAACAATTGTTTGAGAGGATTTTTCGATCTTTGTCTTCTTTTTCTTCTTCGTGTCCTTGCTGTTCGTTTTTGATTCCTCGTTGTCCTTGGACGCGTCTTTGTCGGACTCTTCGTCTGTGTTTTCTTTCTTTTCAGTTTCAGCCTTATCGTTTTCAGCTGTCACATCCTTGACCTCGGCGCTTGGTGAAGAGGAAGTGTCCTTCGAAGCCTTCCCCTTGTCCCCCTTGGCTTTGTCAGGCTTTTCTTCCTTGATCTCGACTTCACGCTCTACTATGATAGTTTCGTCAACCGAACTCTCGGCCGTTCCGATACGAACGAGACCGCTTCGATCGACGTGGAAAGTCAGTGCCACCCGCGGAGTCAAGGTTTTAGCTTTGGATTGGTCCTTCAATTTCTTCAATACGTCTGCGACTCCTGTCACCTTGATCTTTGAGTATAGGGTCCGTTCTGGAAAGCGGGACTTGCCGAGACTGTCAATACCCAAATAGACGGACAGGCCAAAGTCCTTGTCTCGGTTGAGACTGAGGGTCTTCTTGGCCGGCATCTTCGCGCTGCCGTCTGGGAAAATGGCAACTTTCTGGACGACTGGTTTGCCCTTTCCTGAAAACAAGCCGCTGGAGCTGTCCTTCTCAATTTCGGCCGAAATGGATCGGGAATAGACATCTTCAAAGTCGAGCTTGCGAACGCGGAAAGTGCTGCTCATGGACGCAGCAAAGAACACGGATCCCATGACAGCTGCCTCATCGGTGTTGATACTCTTATTCAACGCCTTCACGTTAAGTACCTTCATGAGCTCATCCTGCACACGCGGAGTCCTGCTCGTTCCCCCAAACGGTACAATGGCATCCAAGTCCTCCGGCTTCATCTTTGCCTCGCTGAGGGCGGTTTTGGCCGGCCCGCCAACCAAATTAAGCATCGACTCTGCGTCGCTTTCAAAGTCAGCCCGTTTGAGAGTGGTGCGCAAGTCGACATCGTCGTGCAAGCTTGCGACAGACACCATGGTGTTGGTGTTGGCGCTGAGCACCTCACGAACACGCTGGGCTTCCTTGCGAAGCCTCATCATGACACGCGGGAGCGTTCTGGACGGTGTGGCGCCATTCCCTCTCTGCGTGTCAAAAGCGTCGGCCAGTCTATCGACAACGACGGCATCGAGCAAGCGGCCCCCCACGCCCTTTTCCCAGGCGTGAGCGAGCATCTTGACGGAGGAAGCGACACCGGTCTTGACATCCGAAGTGACCTCGGCGATGGAAGCGGAGGCGGATCCGGCACCGATATCGTAGAACATAACGCGCTGGGTGATAGTCTTCGGGGTGCGCTTCTTCTTGTCCTTTGCCTTCTCCGCGGCGATGGCGTCCTCAGTCGGCTTTGCCTTACCATCAAGCGCGTACTTGATAGCGGCAGCCGTATTGGCATTGACGATTCCCAAGCAATTGAGGCCGATGACCCTGGCAGCGTCAGCCACCGCCTGCCTCTGCCTGTCGTCATACCACGGGGGCACGGTAATCGCGACGTCCTTGACGACGGCGCCGCCCAGGAAGGCGCTCGCCTGTCGTCTGGCCATGCCCAGGAGCATGGCGATGATCTCCTCGCCGGAGAACGGGCCGACGGTGCCATCCGCCAGCGAGAGGGTCTTCCTCGCGCACAGGGGTGGGTGTTCGCCCTCGACGCACTCGCCGATGAGGGCGCGGCCGTCCAGAATGGCGCGGGCTGGGGCTTTCGCGGCGTAGGCGACGGCGGCGTCGCCAAAGAGACGCTCGCCTTCCTCTGTGAAGCCGACGGCCGCGGGGGTCTTGCGCTTCGCTTGCTCGTTCGTGACTAACTCCAGGCCTTTACCGGGGCGGGCGACGGCGACTTTGATGTAGCCCAGGCCAAGATCGACGCCCATGAGGTTGCAGAAGCAGACATGCAGGAGAAGGGAGAGGAGGAGCAACGGGAGAAGGTGGCGGAGCGCGGCCATGATCGGGGGTTGGAGGGGGGCTGCGCACCCAGAGGGAGGCGGGTAGGGGGGGGGGAAGGAGTGGGTGTCTGGGATGGGGGGCGGATCCGTTCGGCGGGGTGTGATGTGAGACTGAGGAGTTTGAAAGAAGGCAGCGGAGTGATGAGGAGGGGATGGGACAGGGAGGCGGTGATGGGGACGTGAGGAGTGGGCGATTGGGTATCGAATGACGACGTAATGGGGAGAGGTACCGAATCGCCGTGTACACCTTGCGAAATGGTGGCGGCGATGCAGCAATGGGTACCCTTCGGTACGACTGCGATGTGTGCACCGACAGGGGGACGCGCTCGAGTGGCTGCGATTGGGGTGCCTGCTGCGAGTAGATCCGAAACGTGCCTTGTTTTCATTTCCAGTGTTGATTGAACGAAAACGCCCCCTCACGCATTCTTATTGGCTGCCGCTGTCACTCCGACAATGAACCATTCCTTACAGTCTGTCACTCCCTAACATCAGTCAAGATTCAGGCTCATTACAGTGCGAGTAAACTACTCACACGTGTAACATTACACGTGTTGTTATGCGAAACAACAGCGAAACAAAAAGGATCACATAGTCCTGGCGCCGTTGTGATCCGGATCAACTTGCTGTTCGAAGTCCAAATTACAGTGGCGTACATGTCAGGGTGAGTGTGCAGTGCACACATGGCTGTCCATGCTGTCTTAAAGGAGGCCTCTGAGGGTCTGATGTCAGACCACTTATCGCGTGTCAACACGCGATAAGTGCACACTGTGCACTTATCGCGTGCGCTGTATCTCGCGTTGCTGTCTCGATGCCTTTTCTTTTATTAAACAACATCAATGCGCGCGCATCAATATCCGAGAGGGCTTTGTCGCGCAAAGCCAGCCTCGAGGTCACGAACTACGACAGCGAGGCAGATGCCACATCTGGCCTCGATCTGCATCCAAACTTTCACAGGGTCAACTTGGAAACCGCCTCGCATATTGAACACTACCGTCTACCCTTCTGAAGGGTAGTACCGCGCTGTATTGTACCAAGAGTACTGTGCGTTGTATTGAATGTACCTTGTTTTGGCGGTAAGCGTCAGAGAGGCATTGGCGCGAGGCAGTCGCCCTACGCAAACGGCGCAACGGCGCAACGGCATGACGTGGAGACGCAAGCCCTAAGGGCTCGGAGCGCGACATCCTTTACGAAATGGTGTGCACGCAAGAGAAAGCCCCCTCAGGGGACATATGTACACAAGGTCGGACACACTAAAAGCGCGCCTACAACTCCCACAATCTCGACACATGCTCACGCAGCCGCGGTAAAAAGCTAGCGTAATCTAAGTTGCGGCGTACTGCAAACGAAAGCGGCGGGGTCGGCCTAACCGTCCGGGTTCTCGAACATAGAGGATAACCTACTAACCTTGCCGAACGTCTGCACGCGCAGTTCCTTCTCCTCGGGGGACTTTGGGTCCGGAAGCGGCGCCAAATTTATTTCCCTATTCCTTGACACCGCGTGTTTTGACGCGTCGGTTCTGGCGCTCGGAAACGCCGCGGCGGGGGGGTTAGGTCTTGGGACGACGCGCGGCTTGACCGGTTCCGGCGGAGGCTTGTTATACTCTGGCATCTGGAACTTTTTCGGCTTGACGACGCGCACCTCCGGCCTATTCGTGCTCGCGGAAGTGGTGGTGGTGGCGGTGGTGGCCGTGGTGGCCGTGGTGGCGGTGGTGGCCGTGGCCGTAGTGGTGGTGGTGAGCGAGACGCTAGTCGCCGAGCTCTTCTCCTTATCGGCCTGATAGACGGGGGCGTGCGGGTTGGGCGGCGGCATATCATCGGCGGCGAAGCATCTCAGGACCTTGACGAACAGGAGATCGCACAAGCCGAGCTCGCGCTTCGGCTTGGACGGGGCCGCGGGCGCTAGGTACGGGTGCGAGTACGGCGCGGCGTGCGGGCGCGGGCCCTGCGCGACGGAGCCGCGGCGGCTGGCGGACGAGGGGCGCATGGCGGCTGGTCAAGGTGGTCAGTGCGACAGCGGCATCGAAACAGAGGGGAGGCAAAGGTGCGGGTGGGTGGGCGGGGCTGGTTGAAGATTGTGGATAGGCGAGTGTGGACAAACGAGACTGGGCACAGCTGTTCCAAGGG